GCTCGACGTGGTGCACATCGACCTCTGCGAGCCGTTTCGAGTGGCCGCCAACGATGGCAGTCTCTACTTTCTTCTGCTGAAAGACAGGATGACTCGCTACGTGTGGGTGAGGCCAATCGCGAAGAAGAGCGACGTGCTGGTCGTCTTCGACAAATGGCTGAAGGTAGTGGAGCGGCAGACTTCGAAGACGGTGAAGATGTTGCGTTCTAACCGCGGAGGGGAATTCCTCGGTCGCGCCTTCACCGACCTCGTCGAAGATAAAGGAATTCTCCACAATCTGACGTGCCCCTACACTCCGCAGCAGAACGGCATGGCGGAGCGGGAGATGCGCACAATCGTCGAGGCTATGCGGACGATGCTTCTGCACATGGGCGTGAAGCACCACTGGTGGCATCTTGCTCTGCGACAGGCTGTCTGGGTGCGCAATTGCCTCGAACGGGCTTCTCTGCCTTCGGGGACGACGCCGCACGAGCTGCTGTTCGAGAAGAAGTCGGACTTGACGCTGGCGCGCGTGTGGGGCTGCATGGTGCAGTTCATGGTCCCCGAGCAGCGGCGCGGCGGGAAGTTGGCGCCGAAGGCCCGTTGGGGTCTTCACCTCGGAGTGTCGGCAGAGAGCAAGGGCTGGGAGGTTCTCGACTTGACGGACAACAAGGTCGTCACGACGGTCGAAGCGATCTTCTACGAGACCCTGTCGATGGAGATGTGGAAGGTGGAGTACGGGCCGGCGTCGACGAGGACGCCCTCTACCCCGCCGACGGATTCCTCCTCGGTGCACCCTCCACTGCTCGCCGCGGACGACGAGCTTGATGAGGACGACGCAGACGATGTCACCCCCTCCCCCCCTCCCCCTGTTCAGGAATCCTCGTCGGCCGTCGGCGATGAGGGGAGACTTGGTACGTCGCCTGCGGCGCCGACCGATTGCATCGCCGGTGGCCAACGTGACGCCGAGAAGGTCATCGACGGGAAGCGGCAGACGATAGGGGAGTCGTCGACGTCGAAGAAGACCGCAGAGAAGCAGTCGGCAGAGGCGCCGGCCGCAGAGAAGCCGTCGGCAGAGGCGCCGACCGTAGAGAAGCCGTCGGCAGAGGCGCCGGCCTCAGGGGAGCAGTTCAACGACGACTCGTCGAGCGACGACGTTGTGGAAGTCATCGGTGTGGCCGGCGGTGAAGGGGAGCTGTCGACAGGGGAGCAGTCCGAGGACAGTGACGTGGTGGAGGTTCCGGTCGAAGAGGTGAAGCAGCGGCATTCTACCCGCTCCAACTTCGGCAAGCCTCCGGAGAAGTTGAGCTACCACGCTTGTCTGCCGCCGACGGCCTACAGTACTCTGCACGACGACGCAGAGGACGACGTCGATCTTCCCGAGCTCGACCCCGACATGCACGCCGACCCAGAGCATCGCTGGGACATCGCCAACATGACGGTGAAGGAGGCATTGGCGAGCTGGAAAGGCAAGGCGGTGAAGGTCGCCATGGATGAGGAGATCAAGAGTCTCATCTCTAATGGGACATGGGAGCTGGTCGAGCGTCCGCGTGGTGTCAACGTGATGAAGAATCGTTGGGTACTCACGACGAAGTACCACGTCGATGACACGGTCGCCCGCGAGAAGGCGCGTCTGGTGGTGAAGGGCTTCACACAGATCTACGGCGCAGACTACGACAAAACGTATGCGTCGGTGGGGAGCTACGTAACTCTGCGGATCTTCCTCAGCATCGTAGCCGTCCTCGACCTGCACCTGATGCAACTCGACATGAAGAACGCTTTCCTGCAGAGCAAGCTCGATCGCGTACTCTACATGGACCAGCCCAGCTACTACAACGACGGCACCGGCCGTGTATGCAAGTTGCTGAAGAGCCTCTACGGGCTGAAGCAGAGTCCGCTGTTGTGGTACTCGGCGCTCGACGCGGTGCTGATCGGCGCTGGCTGGAGCAAGAGCCAGGTAGACGAAGCGCTCTACTTCAAGGTCGGCGACGACGGAGTGGCGTGCTGGGTGCTCGTCTACGTCGACGATCTGCTCGCCGCCAGCAGCAGCACTGCGATGCTGAAGGAGCTGAAGGAGCTGCTGGAGGCCGCCTTTGAGCTGCGCGAAATCAACCCGGTCGAGAAGTATCTCGGGCTGGAGATCGTGCGCGACCGACCTGCGAGGAAGCTGTGGCTTCACCAGCAAGCCTACGTCGACAAGCTACGTCGGCGCTTCATCGACGAGGAGCAGACCGGTCGAGTGCCGAAGACGCCGGTCTCCGTCGACGCCTACGCAGAGCCGGTGTTCGACGACGAGGAGTTTCAGTCGCGCGAGGAAGCAGAGTACCGGCAGAAGGTCGGCTCGCTGCAGTTCGCGGCCACCACGACTAGGCCCGACATTGCTTTTGCTTGCAGCAAGCTTGGATCCGGCCTGACAGTGCGGAGCGATAACCACTGGCGCGAGGTCGACCGCTGTCTACACTACCTCGCTGAAACTCGTGACGCCGCTCTGGAGTTCGGTGGAGGACCAGAGTCGCTGTGTCTGGTCGGCTATGCAGATGCCGACGACGCTGGCGACAAGCAGAATCGGACGAGCACGGGCGGCTACGTTTTCGTCTTCGGAGGAGCCGCAGTCTCTTGGTCGAGCCAGCGCATCAAGTGCGCGACGCTCTCGTCGACCGAGTCAGAGTACGTCGCGGCCACTGAAGCCGGCAAGGAGGCTCGCCGTCTACGCTTCCTCCTTGCAGAGTTCCGACTGCTCGACCCAAGGAAGCCGACTGTTCTGCACGTGGACAACCAGTCGGCGATCACTGTCGCAGAGGGCTTGGGGCTCAAGGGCAACCTCAAGCACATGGAGCGACGCTACGCCTGGCTGCAGCAGATGGTGAAGCGCGGGAAGATTGCTCTGCAGTACATCCCGACCTCCGAGCAGCCAGAAGATTTTCTGACGAAGGCGCTGCATTTTCCGGCTTTCAACCGGTGCTCCGTCGCAATCGGCCAAGTGTGTCTGGCCGACGTGGGCGACGGGGATGACGAGGTGCAGCAGTAGGTGCCGTGCCCTTTCTGCACGGCTGGTGCGGTGATATACGTGCTATGAGTTCGGTGCACGTAGAAGGAATTTTCTCCTTGTATTCTATCCCTCTGGGTTCTGGGTGGACCTTCTGTGTAGGTGCCCAAGCGTGAGCTGGGCAGGGGAGTGTCGAAGAGAAAAGGCCCCGCCCTCGCTTGGGAGAACACGACCAGGCATTTCGGAACAAGACAGTGTTCGTTTCGTGGTCATCGGAGACTTCGGGGACTTTTATCTGTGTGCGACTGGTCGTTTGTCGACGAGATTTATTGGTCGAGGTAGAAGTGTTTCCTCTGCTCGATCAAAGTCCTCGTCTAGGAGGAGCTCGTCGACGGGAGTAAAACGGCGTCAAAGACGAGCCTTTCTGATAGACGGAATTGGCAGAATTGGTGTTTCGACGGATTGCTGGTCGACAGAATTGAGTTCGACGAGTGTTTCGTCGAGCAGAGCGATTCTGGTCGACCAGAATTACTTGGCTCCGAAATTCGCAATGTACGCGAATTTCGACCAATCGCGAAACAGCAAATTTCGACCAATCAGGTAATCTCGGAAATTGTACTCCCCAGGAGAATTCGAATCTGCTAAGGAACAGAACCTGAAACACGTATTTGCTAACTACAAAAACGTATACAACTATGAATGTTGTAAAACCTGAGCAACTGCCAACTCAGGTGAAAGGTGCATGTGCTTGTCGTTTCACCTGCCGTTGCTGACTCGACAGAGTCAAGTGTATGCCGAGGAACGTTCTCTTCAGGGTTCTGTCTTCTGCTATTTGGTTCTCTTTGCTTGTATTCTAATCTTGTTCTATCAACTTTCCTTAGTGAAACTATGCTTGAATTCTACTAAGGCATTCCAACACTCTGTCAAGAATCACTGCCACAACTCTGACCGTGCGTCCCACGCAATTCAGCTCTCCCGTAGAATACTATTCTCCGCACCTCCCTCCACCCTCCACCCTCCACCCTCCTCCCTCCACCCTCCTCTATCCACCCTCCACCCTCCACCCTCCACCCACCACCCTCCACCCTCCACCCTCCACCCTCCACCCTCCCCTCTCCTCCCTCCACCCTCCACCCTCCACCCTCCACCCTCCACCCTCAACCCTCCTCCCTCCACCCTCCACACTCCACCCTCCTCCCTCCATACTCCTACCTCCACCCTCCACCCTCCCTCCACCCTCCACCCTCCACCCTCCTACCACCATACTCCTCTCTTCTCCACTCCACCCTCCACCCTCCACCCTCCACCCTCCACCCTCCACCCTCCGCCGTCCTCCCTCTACCCTCCTCCCTCCACCCTACACCCTCCACCGTCCTCTCTCCTTCCTCCACCCTCCTCCCTCCACCCTTCACCCTCCTCCCTCCACCCTCCACCCTCCAACCTCCACCCTCCACCCTCCTCCCTCCACCCTCCTCCATCCACCCTCCACCCTCCACCCACCACCCTCCACCCTCCACCCTCCCCTCTCCTCCCTCCACCCACCACCCTCCACCCTCCACCCTCCACCCTCCACACTCCGCCCTCCTCCCTCCACCCTCCACCCTCCACCCTCCCTCCCTCCACCCTCCTCCCTCCACCCTCCACCCTCCACCCTCCTCCCTCCTTCCTCCACCCTCCTCCCTTCACCCTCCCCTCTCCTCCCTCCACCCTCCACCCTCCACCCTCCACCCTCCACACTCCGCCCTCCTCCCTCCACCCTCACTCCTTCCTCCTCCAGGCAGAGAGGCAGCACGGCAGAGCGGCACAGCGGCACGACAGTTACTATCAGTCAATGCCAGTCAACTCCAGTCCTCGGCATTATGATACGGTATGCAATTAACTGTACCCACACTCTCCTTTCATGTTATTTCGCTTTCTGCATCCTCTAGCAGATTCTCCTTTCCTTTTCTTGTCCTCTAGCAAAGTCTCCTCTCCTTTTCTTTCATGTTATTTCACTTTCTGCATCCTCTTGAAAAGTCTCCTCGCCTTTTCTTTCATGTTATTTCACTTTCTGCATCCTCTAGCAAAGTCTCGTCCCTTTTTCCTAGTCCTTTCTGCAACCCCCCAAAGCAGCGGCGCCTCCTCCTCACAGCCCCCCAGAGCAGCGGCGCCTCCTCCTCACAACCCCCCAGAGCAGCGGCGCCTCCTCCTCACAGCCCCCCAGAGCAGCGGCGCCTCTCCCTCACAGCCCCCCAGAGCAGCGGCGCCTCCTCCTCACAACCCCCCAAAGCAGCAGTGCCTCCTCCTCACAACCCCCCAAGCAGCGGCGCCTCCTCCTCACTGCCCCCCAGAGCAGCGGTGCCTCCTCCTCACAGCCCCCCAGAGCAACGGCGCCTCCTCCTCACAACCCCCCAGAGCAGCGGCGCCTCTCCCTCACAGCCCCCCAGAGCAGCGGCGCCTCTCCCTCACAGCCCCCCAGAGCAGCGGCGCCTTCTCCTCACAACCCCCCAGAGCAGGGGCGCCTCCTCCTCACAGCCCCCCAGAGCAGGGGCGCCTCCTCCTCACAGCCCCCCAGAGCAGGGGCGCCTCTCCCTCACAGCCCCCCAGAGCAGCGGCGCCTTCTCCTCACAACCCCCCAGAGCAGGGGCGCCTCCTCCTCACAGCCCCCCAGAGCAGGGGCGCCTCCTCCTCACAGCCCCCCAGAGCAGGGGCGCCTCTCCCTCACAGCCCCCCAGAGCAGCGGCGCCTCCTCCTCACAACCCCCCAAAGCAGCAGTGCCTCCTCCTCACAACCCCCCAAAGCAGCGGCGCCTCCTCCTCACTGCCCCCCAGAGCAGCGGCGCCTCCTCCTCACAGCCCCCCAGAGCAACGGCGCCTCCTCCTCACAACCCCCCAGAGCAGCGGCGCCTCTCCCTCACAGCCCCCCAGAGCAGCGGCGCCTCTCCCTCACAGCCCCCCAGAACAGCGGCGCCTTCTCCTCACAACCCCCCAGAGCAGGGGCGCCTCCTCCTCACAGCCCCCCAGAGCAGGGGCGCCTCCTCCTCACAGCCCCCCAGAGCAGGGGCGCCTCTCCCTCACAGCCCCCCAGAGCAGCGGCGCCTTTTCCTCAAGCCACCCAGAGCAGCGGCGCCTCCTCCTCACAACCCCTCAGAGCAGGGGCGCCTTTTCCTCAAGCCACCCAGAGCAGGGGCGCCTCTCCCTCACAGCCCCCAGAGCAGCGCCGCCTTCTCCTCACAACCCCCCAGAGCAGGGGCGCCTCCTCCTCACAGCCCCCCAGAGCAGCGGCGCCTCTCCCTCACAGCCCCCCAGAGCAGCGGCGCCTCCTCCTCACAACCCCTCAGAGCAGGGGCGCCTTTTCCTCAAGCCACCCAGAGCAGGGGCGCCTCTCCCTCACAGCCCCCCAGAGCAGCGGCGCCTTCTCCTCACAACCCCCCAGAGCAGGGGCGCCTCCTCCTCACAGCCCCCCAGAGCAGGGGCGCCTCCTCCTCACAACCCCCCAGAGCAGCGGCGCCTCCTCCTCACAGCCCCCCAGAGCAGGGGCGCCTCCTCCTCACAACCCCCCAAAGCAGGGGCGCCTCCTCCTCACTGCCCCCCAGAGCAGCGGCGCCTCCTCCTCACAGCCCCCCAGAGCATCGGCGCCTCCTCCTCACAGCCCCCCAGAGCAGCGGCGCCTCTCCCTCACAGCCCCCCAGAGCAGCGGCGCCTCTCCCTCACAGCCCCCCAGAGCAGCGGCGCCTTCTCCTCACAACCCCCCAGAGCAGGGGCGCCTCCTTCTCACACCCCCCCAGAGCAGCGGCGCCTCTCCCTCACAACACCCCAGAGCAGCGGCTCCTCTCCCTCACAGCCCCCCAGAGCAGCGGCGCCTCTCCCTCACAGCCCCCCAGAGCAGCGGCGCCTCCTCCTCACAACCCCCCAGAGCAGCGGCGCCTCCTCCTCACAACCCCCCAGAGCAGGGGCGCCTCCTCCTCACAGCCCCCCAGAGCAGCGGCGCCTCTCCCTCACAGCCCCCCAGAGCAGCGGCACCTTCTCCTCACAACCCCCCAGAGCAGGGGCGCCTCCTCCTCACAGCCCCCCAGAGCAGCGGCGCCTCTCCCTCACAGCCCCCCAGAGCAGCGGCGCCTCTCCCTCACAGCCCCCCAGAGCAGCGGCGCCTCCTCCTCACAACCCCCCAGAGCAGCGGCGCCTCCTCCTCACAACCCCCCAGAGCAGCGGCGCCTCCTCCTCACAACCCCCCAGAGCAGGGGCGCCTCCTCCTCACAGCCCCCCAGAGCAGGGGCGCCTCTCCCTCACAGCCCCCCAGAGCAGCGGCGCCTCTCCCTCACAACCCCCCAGAGCAGCGGCTCCTCTCCCTCACAGCCCCCCAGAGCAGCGGCGCCTCTCCCTCACAGCCCCCCAGAGCAGCGGCGCCTCCTCCTCACAACCCCCCAGAGCAGGGGCGCCTCCTCCTCACAACCCCCCAGAGCAGCGGCGCCTCCTCCTCACAACCCCCCAGAGCAGGGGCGCCTCCTCCTCACAACCCCCCAGAGCAGCGGCGCCTCTCCCTCACAGCCCCCCAGAGCAGCGGCGCCTCCTCCTCACAATCCCCCAGAGCAGCGGCGCCTCCTCCTCACAGCCCCCCAGAGCAGGGGCACCTTTTCCTCACAACCCTTCAGAGCAGCGGCGCCTCTCCCTCACAGCCCCCCAGAGCAGCGGCGCCTCCTCCTCACAGCCCCCCAGAGCAGCGGCGCCTCCTCCTCACAGCCCCCCAGAGCAGCGGCGCCTCTCCCTCACAACCTCCCAGAGCAGCGGCGCCTCTCCCTCACAGCCCCCCAGAGCAGCGGCGCCTCTCCCTCACAGCCCCCCAAAGCAGCGGCGCCTCTCCCTCGCAGCCCCCAGAGCAGCGGCGCCACCAGCAGGGAGGAGCAGGAGTGGCATCACCAGCAGGAGCAGTTGGTCAAACGAGAAGGAGCACGTAAGTTATTGCTTTGAAACAAATCCATGCTTCAACTCCCTACTTGTGCGTTTTATACCCTTCTAGTGGCTAATCCTCACTTTGGTATTGTGCCTCCCCAGTGCTCTTGTTCACATACGATCGAGCTACAGTTTTTTTTTTTCTTTCCTTCTTTCTGTCGCTCCATACTTATCAATTCCTCTGGCGGTTGCCCTTCTCCCTTGCAACCCCTTCCGTTCCTCCTTTCCCCCGTTCTCCTCCCAACCCACACGGTGCCGCAGGTCACGAGGCAGAGACAGTGGAGACGAGACGGGCATGCGAGTGAGTGTGATAAAGGCCACCAACCAGGCGCTGATTGAGCACCTCCCTTGTGTATCCACGACCTCTTGCCGCACCATCACAAGGTCGGAAGGGTGAGGAAGGGGGGAGTGGGTGATGAAGGGGAGGATTGGGAAGGGGGGAGGAGGGGGGGGGGTATTTTGGGGGTGCTAGGAGAGGGGTTTGACTTTGGGGGAATGAGAGGGGGGGTTGGGGATTGGGCAGCTGGAGAAAGTGGGGGGCGGAGGGGAAGGGGAGGATGTGGGATGCGTGTCACACTGAGCCAGCGCTTGCTCTGTCTTGCTGCTTCCTTCTTCCCCTCCCATGCACGCCCGTGCACCTTCTCCCAACCATGCGCCACACCCTCCCCCTCGCCTCCCCTTGTCTCATTTTTATTTTCCGCCACTGCCTCCACCCCCTCGCCCTCCCTCCTTCCCTTTCCCTATATTGCCTCGTTTAAGCCTGTCTTTGAGCATCACTGCCTGCCCTTTTGCTTCATTGCATGTTTGTGTGCTTCAGTGTGTGCAAGGTATATGCGCGCAAGGCATGTGTGCAGGGCATGTGTGCAGGGCATGTGTGCAGGGCGTGTGAAGAGCAGCAAGGGCGAGGGACGAGGCAGGCAAGAGTGGTGGGGTCGTCCTGGGCGCTCGTCTCCTCCGCCGTCGGCCCCACTGCGCCCATCCCTCATCCCATCTGCTCTGCTGTGCTGCTCTGCTCTCCGCTGCGCACCGCCGCCCCTCTAACGCGTGTCACTTGGGTGGGTCTCTCCCTCTCTTCCTCACCCACCCCTCGCTGCCTCGTTTTACTGCTGCCATTGCTCTGCCCTGCTGCTGCCATGCCCCTCCCCCCCTCCCCACGCACGTGCCAGTCTCTCATCTTTGCATTTCATGCCCTCCTTGCTTTCGCCTACTCCTGTTCTTGCTCATGTTGCTCGCTCGTTGTTGCTTTCGCTCTGCTTTCACAATGGTTTTGAGAATTTATAAAGTCACTTCGCGCATCTCCTTCTCCCAGGGCCTTCTCTGCCCATCCCTTGGCTTGTTCCTGTGTTCCAGGGCGAGGGGAGTGCGGGCCACAGGGCAGCAGAGGGGCGTTGATGTTGCAGCGAGTGCGGAGGCAGCAGCAGGGGTCTACCTGCGTGCTACCACACACATCACACACCACACCCAACTCCACGCCATTCACTTCACACCACACCCAATACCACGCCATTCACACCGCACGCACCAAACACCACACCTTTCACACCACACCCAACAGCACGCCATTTTCACCACACCCAACACCACGCCATTTTCACCACACCCAACACCACGCCAACCCCACCACACCCAACACAACGCCATTCCCGCCACACCCAATACCATGCTATTCCCGCCACACCCAACACCACCCCATTCACACCACACCCACACCATACCATTCAAACCACAACCAACACCAAGCCATTGATACCACACCCAACGCCCCGCCATTCCCACCACACCCAACACCACGCTATTCCCGCCACACCCAACACCACGCCATTCCCGCCACACCCAACTTCACGGCATTCCCACCACACCCAACACCACTCCATTCCCACCACACCCATCACCATGCCATTCCCACCACACCCAACACAACGCCATTCCCGCCACACCCAACGCATCGCCATTCCCACCACACCCAACACCACGCCATTCACACCTACACCCTCCACCGTCCTTCCACCCTACACCATCCACCGTCCTCTCTCCTTCCTCCACCCTCCTCCCTCCACCCTCCACCCACCACCCTCCACCCTCCACCCTCCCCTCTCCTCCCTCCACCCACCACCCTCCACCCTCCACCTTCCACACTCCGCCCTCCTCCCTCTACCCTCCACCCTCCACCCTCCACCCTTCACCCTCCTCCCTCCACCCTCCTCCCTCCACCCTCCTCCCTCCACCCTCCACCCTCCTCCCTCCTTCACCCTCCTCCCTTCACCCTCCCCTCTCCTCCCTCCACCCTCCACCCTCCACCCTCCACCCTCCACCCTCCACCCTCCACCCTCCTCCCTCCACCCTCCACCCTCCACCCTCCTCCCTCCTTCCTCCACCTTCCTCCCTTCACCCTCCACCCTCCTCCCTCCACCCTCCACCCTCCACCCTCCACCCACCACCCTCCACCCTCCACCCACCACCCTCCACCCTCCACCCTCCACACTCCGCCCTCCTCCCTCCACCCTCCACCCTCCACCCTCCACCCTCCACCCTCCTCCCTCCACCCTCCACCCTCCACCCTCCTCCCTCCTTCCTCCACCTTCCTCCCTTCACCCTCCACCCTCCTCCCTCCACCCTCCACCCTCCACCCTCCACCCTCCTCCCTCCACCCTCTTCCCTCCACCCTCCACCCTCCACCCTCCTCCCTCCTTCAACCTTCTTCCTTCACCCTCCCCTCTCCTCCCTCCACCCTCCACCCTTCACCCTCCACCCTCCACACTCCGCCCTCCTCCCTCCACCCTCCACCCCCTCCCTCCTCCCTCCACCCTCCACCCTCCACCCTCCTCCCTCCTTCCTCCACCCTCCTCCCTCTACCCTCCACCCTCCACCCTCCGCCGTCCTCCCTCTACCCTCCTCCCTCCACCCTACACCCTCCACCGTCCTCTCTCCTTCCTCCACCCTCCTCTCTCCACCCTCCACTCTCCTCCCTCCACCCTCCACCCTCCACCCTCCCCTCTCCTCCCTCCACCCACCACCCTCCACCCTCCACCCTCCACACTCCGCCCTCCCCCCTCCACCCTCTTCCCTCCACCCTCCACCCTCCACCCTCCTCCCTCCTTCACCCTCCTCCCTTCACCCTCCCCTCTCCTCCCTCCACCCTCCACCCTCCACCCTCCACCCTCCACACTCCGCCCTCCTCCCTCCACCCTCCACCCCCTCCCTCCTCCCTCCACCCTCCACCCTCCACCCTCCTCCCTCCACCCTCCACCCTCCACCCTCCTCCCTCCTTCCTCCACCCTCCTCCCTCCACCCTCCACCCTCCGCCGTCCTCCCTGTACCCTCCTCCCTCCACCCTCCACCCTCCGCCGTCCTCCCTCGACCCTCCTCCCTCCACCCTACACCCTCCACCGTCCTCTCTCCTTCCTCCACCCTCCTCCCTCCACCCTCCACCCTCCTCCCTCCACCCTCCACCCTCCACCCTCCACCCTCCTCCATCCACCCTCCACCCTCCACCCTCCCCTCTCCTCCCTCCACCCACCAACCTCCACCCTCCACCCTCCACACTCCGCCCTCCTCCCTTCACCCACCACCCACCACCCTCCACCCTCCACCCTCCACACTCCGCCCTCCTCCCTCCACCCTCCACCCTCCACCCTCCACCCTCTACCCTCCTCCCTCCACCCTCCACCCTCCTCCCTCCTTCCTCCACCCTCCTCCCTTCACCCTCCCCTCTCCTCCCTCCACCCTCCACCCTCCACCCTCCACACTCCGCCCTCCTCCCTCCACCCTCCACCCCCTCCCTCCTCCCTCCACCCTCCACCCTCTACCCTCCTCCCTCCACCCTACACCCTCCACCGTCCTCTCTCCTTCCTCCACCCTCCTCCCTCCACCCTCTACCCTCCTCCCTCCACCCTCCACCCTCCACCCTCCACCCTCCACCCTCCACCCTCCTCCCTCCACCCTCCTCCATCCACCCTCCACCCTCCACCCACCACCCTCCACCCTCCACCCTCCACACTCCGCCCTCCTCCCTCCACCCTCCACCCTCCACCCTCCACCCTCCACCCTCCTCCCTCCACCCTCCACCCTCCACCCTCCTCCCTCCTTCATCCACCTTCCTCCCTTCACCCTCCACCCTCCTACCTCCACCCTCCACCCTCCACCCTCCACCCACCACCCTCCACCCTCCACCCACCACCCACCACCCTCCACCCTCCACCCTCCACACTCCGCCCTCCTCCCTCCACCCTCCACCCTCCACCCTCCACCCTCCACCCTCCACCCTCCTCCCTCCACCCTCCACCCTCCACCCTCCTCCCTCCTTCCTCCACCTTCCTCCCTTCACTCTCAGGGTGGAGGGTGGAGGGAGGAGGGTACAGGGAGGACGGCGGAGGGTGGAGGGTGGAGGGAGGAGGGCGGAGTGTGGAGGGTGGAGGGTGGAGGGTGGAGGGTGGAGGGGAAGAGGGGAGGGTGAAGGGAGGAGGGTGAAGGAGGGAGGAGGGTGGAGGGTGGAGGGTGGAGGGAAGAGGGTGGAGGGGGGAGGGCGGAGTGTGGAGGGTGGAGGGTGGAGGGTGGTGGGTGGAGGGAGGAGAGGGGAGGGTGGAGGGTGGAGGGTGGAGGGAGGAGAGTGGAGGGTGGAGAGAGGAGGGTGGAGGAAGGAGAGAGGACGGTGGAGGGTGGAGGGTGGAGGGAGGAGGGTAAAGGGTGGAGGGAGGAGGGTGGAGGAAGGAGAGAGGACGGTGGAGGGTGTAGGGTGGAGGGAGGAGGGTAGAGGGTGGAGGGTGGAGGGAGGAGGGTAGAGGGTGGAGGGTGGAGGGAGGAGGGAGGGGGTGGAGGGTGGAGGGAGGAGGGCGGAGTGGTGAGGGTGGAGGGTGGAGGGTGGAGGGAGGAGAGGGGAGGGTGAAGGGAGGAGGGTGGAGGAAGGAGAGAGGACGGTGGAGGGTGTAGGGTGGAGGGAGGAGGGTCGAAGGAGGACGGCGGAGGGTGGAGGGTGGAGGGAGGAGGGTATAGGGAGGACGGCGGAGGGTGGAGGGTGGATGGAGGAGGGTGGAGGGTGGAGGGTGGAGGGAGGAGGATGGAGGGTGGAGGGTGGAGGGAGGAGGGTGGAGGAAGGAGAGAGGACGGTGGAGGGTGGAGGGTGTAGGGTGGAGGGAGGAGGGTCGAGGGAGGACGGCGGAGGGTGGAGGGTGGAGGGAGGAGGGTACAGGGAGGACGGCGGAGGGTGGAGGGTGGAGGGAGGAGGGCGGAGTGTGGAGGGTGGAGGGTGGAGGGTGGAGGGTGGAGGGAGGAGAGGGGAGGGTGAAGGGAGGAGGGTGAAGGAGGGAGGAGGGTGGAGGGTGGAGGGTGGAGGGAAGAGGGTGGAGGGGGGAGGGCGGAGTGTGGAGGGTGGAGGGTGGAGGGTGGTGGGTGGAGGGAGGAGAGGGGAGGGTGGAGGGTGGAGGGTGGAGGGTGGAGGGAGGAGAGTGGAGGGTGGAGAGAGGAGGGTGGAGGAAGGAGAGAGGACGGTGGAGGGTGTAGGGTGGAGGGAGGAGGGTAGAGGGAGGACGGCGGAGGGTGGAGGGTGGAGGGTAGAGGGAGGAGGGTGGAGGAAGGAGGGAGGAGGGTGGAGGGTGGAGGGTGGAGGGAGGAGGGAGGGGGTGGAGGGTGGAGGGAGGAGGGCGGAGTGTGGATGGTGGAGGGTGAAGGGTGGAGGGTGGAGGGAGGAGAGGGGAGGGTGAAGGGAAGAGGGTGAAGGAGGGAGGAGGGTGGAGGGTGGAGGGAGGGAAGAGGGTGGAGGGAGGAGGGTGGAGGGTGGAGGGTGGAGGGTGGAGGGTGGAGGGAGGAGAGGGAAGGGTGAAGGGAGGAGGGTGAAGGAGGGAGGAGGGTGGAGGGTGGAGGGTGGAGGGAGGAGGGTGGAGGGAGGAGGGTGGAGGGAGGAGGGTGGAGGGTGGAGGGTGGAGGGTGGAGGGTGGAGGGAGGAGAGGGGAGGGTGAAGGGAGGAGGGTGAAGGAGGGAGGAGGGTGGAGGGTGGAGGGTGGAGGGAGGAGGGTGGAGGGAGGAGGGTGGAGGGAGGAGGGTGGAGGGTGGAAGGTGGAGGGTGGAGGGTGGAGGGTGGAGGGAGGAGGGCGGAGTGTGGAAGGTGGAGGGTGGAGGGTGGTGGGTGGAGGGAGGAGAGGGGAGGGTGGAGGGTGGAGGGTGGAGGGTGGTGGGTGGAGGGTGGAGGGAGGAGGGTGGAGGAAGGAGAG